GTGCGCACCACCACGCCCAGTCTCAAGATTCCAAGCATAAATGCTAATATACATGAAGAAAATTAGGACTAAGTGAAGATGCTGGAGCATGACTTGATTTATGAGGACACTTACAGCTAGGCAGTATAGGGCTGTTGAGATGGAACGATTCAGATATCATTGTGTCTCCTCTGTACATCAAAGGAGGCAGGTATCAGAAACAGGACGAAGGGCCACCCAGACAGCTCAGCGGACTAAAGTGCCAACTTAGGCAGAGCGCAGTGGCCGGGCTTCGATCCCCATGGTGCTGTGCCAGCTCCGCCCCTAGGGCGCTGCTGAGGTGACGATTGAGACTGGGCATGGTGGTGCGCGCCTGTAACCCCAGCACTTGGGAGGCTGAAAATAGGAGGATCACTACGAGTCCTGTCTGTGTAGTGAGGCCCTGTAGACCTTGTAAACCCTGTCCTAAATACATAAGAAAAAAGGAATAAGATGATTTAGTTCTAAGTTAGCTTACTAATGATGAAGGCTGAGTCTAGCATCCAAGAAAAATAAAGTGAGGTAACATGGTTAATGGTAGCAAAGGAGATAACCTGAAAATTCCTTACAGAAATATCAAGCCTTGGTAGGTTATTTTACTACATACGTCATACATTGCTGCATGATGGGAATAGATTCTTTTTGGGGGGGGGTGATTCATTCATTCATTCATTCATTCATTCATTCATTCATGTGGTGCTGGGGACAGAACCCAGGGCTTCAAGCACACCAGGGAAGTCCTGCACCGCTGAGCTACACCTGTAGCCCAGGAAATCTTAACGGAATGACTGATGGAAATGGGAGCAGAGTCTAGGCAGTATGTCATTCAGCCAGCTCATCCTTATGCCAGCGTCACGGCGTTCACTTGCACACGTGAAAGTGGCTATGACGCACATCAATCTAATGGGACCATTGCGGCAGAGGCCGGAGAAGGTGAGCCTTTTAGAGCTTTCAGTGATGACAGAGAGCTGGCTGCGCACATGGCCACAGGCTCGCCACCACTGCCATAGCAGCCTCCTTTTCCCTGAAAGGGAAAGTGACACGTAACTGTACACTATGCTGCATTTCATTGCCAGAGGAGGAACTGAAAATAAAAATCAATTCTAATGTGTTATCTGTCATAATGATATTCTTAACATTTAGCAGGTAACTGTTGTGACAGGGTCTCCTTTTTTTGTTTTCTTTTCAGATGTTTCCTCGGATCCAGATGAACTAACAAACATGGCTACAAAATTTCCAGAAATTGCGTATTCTTTAGATCAGAAGCTTCGTTCCATTATAAACTACCCTAAGGTTTCTGCTGCTGTTCACCAATACAACAAAGAGCAGTTCATCACATGGAAACGGAGTGTGGGCCAAAATTACTCAAATGTCATAGCGAACCTCAGGTGGCATCGGGACTGGCTGAAAGATCCAAGGAAGTACGAAAGTGCAATCGGTCGGTGGCTGAAAGCCCACACCACTCCAGAAGCAGTAAGAAGAAAATAATGCTGCATACAAATGTCGATAAATAAACAAATAAATGGAAAAAATGTCAGTACATATTGTAAGTTGAAGTTTGAGTACTGATTTTTAGTTACTTTTAAAGAATTGTTGTATCATTAAATACAATGCCAGTGATTATAGAATTGCATATTGTTAAAAATAGTAAGACTATTCTTACCAACTTCTTGTTTTTTGGTTTTTGGGTTTTTGGTACTGGGACTCAAACTCAGGACTTTGCGCTTGCCAGGTAGGCACGTATGTTGCTGAGCTATCTCCCCAGCCCACTATTCTTACCAACTTCTACACCTAACAGAAGTATCAGAAGGATAGATACAAACACTATAATATAAAAGTGATATTTCTCTAAATAATGTAGATTGTAAAATATTTTTATTATTTTTACTTACTAATCAGGAAATATGTATTTGATGGTGTTTGATAGTTATTTGTACTTGATGGGACCATTTGAATATATTTGATGGGAGTTTTAAGAGTATTATTACAGGTGACCTGGGCCCCAACCCCATACCCAGTGGCTCAGGAGTTTAGGGTGAAGACTGGGTACCATCTGCGGCTGCTGTTTTGTTTGCGAAGACCTGATTGCCAGAAGTGAATTTATTTCCAGTGTTTGTCATTTTATCAGTTATTGTTAATATTATTTTAAATGCATCTTTCATTATATCTTCTGATTGTCTGTACATACATATGTAGCTCTCTATATTGTTGTATACTAAAACACCTTATTGTTTATAGCAATATAATTGTACTTTATATTTTCCAAATAAAGGGCTCACCTGCAACTAATAATTTTACCCAACGTTTTTGTACTGCTTGAATTATTACTTCATAAGCCAGTTCATCTCCTTTACTTTTTATTCATCATTGAATTTATATAAGCTTGTGTCTCTGATTATTTATAAATTTTTGAAAAATAAATTCATATCTACATCTATATCACAAATGTATTGATATTACATATATATGAAGCAAAACTCGTAAGAGGAAAAGCTCAGTATTAAAGCTAGTATCTCCTCATTAACACTAAAAACCTGACAAAGCTAGTGTGCAGCGTACGTGCTACCTGTGGGATGAATCAGTAATAATAGAAACGACGTTCTGAAAGTGTAGCCCTCCTGCTGAAGAGTTTACCAAGCACCCAAAATGTTTTAAGCATACCAAGTGGGATCGTAAGGAAGTACAGGTGAATTTTCAGGACAATATCTAATTTAAAATGGTATTGAACAACCATGAAAAGAAGAGAAAATCTTGCAACAAAAAAAGATAGTTACCTCAGTTCAGATCCGGGGAGGAATGGACACTACTTCAAAGCTGGTTTGCGAACATCTGAGTTTTATTTATTTATTTATTTATTTTTAGTCATTTGTTTATTTATTTATTCATGTGGTACAGGGTCTCCCTTTGCCATCGGACTCACAGTGATCCTCTTGTCTCAGCCTCCCGAGTGCTGGGATTACAGGCATGCGCCACCATGCCTGGTTTCAGTAGCCAGCATGGCATGCAGTACTGGAGATCCACCCCGGAGATCGAACCCAGGTCCTTGCACTTGCTAGGCTGGTGCTTAGACTGCCGAGCTATCTTCCCAGCCCTGAGCTTCACTTTCTGTTACCTCCCCTGCTACCACCCTGGTCCAATCTACCATAATCCAGTCCACGGAACTCTGCCGTGGACTCCTTGGAGGTCTCTATTACGATCTTCGCTTTCTTCAATCTGTTCTCAACACAGCAGCTGGAAAGATCCTGTCTAAATTTACGAGCTAGCATCGCTGGAGACAAACATGTGATCCGACGGGTTTCCTATTTTATTTTCCCCATAAGAGCCACAGTTATCCAGTGACCCACGGAGTGCTAAGTGATCAGATCCTGTCTCAGACCACTGCCGCCTCTGCGCACACACCTGGTTGAGTGCTGGCGCTACGCGGCCTCCCTGCCCTTTCAGGCCACCAGGCAGGCCGCGCCTCCACCTCTTTGCACCTGTGAGCCGCTGCTGCTGCCTGGCCCAGCCCTTCCCACGGATCTGCAAATGGCTCCTCAGTCAGCACCTTTGAGTCGCAGCTCAAATGTCACCTTTTCACAAGTGTCTCCATGCTTCATTTTCTCCAATGTAATTGATTTCCGTCCAAGTTGGTCTTACATATTTCTACTCTCTTACCCTACCCCAGCCTAGTGAAGAAAAGCTTCATGCATGCAGGCCATCGCGTCCTGGGTGTCCCTAAACTAACTGAAGCCCCTGACACACAGTGGAAGCTTGGTACATACTGCGCTTGGATGTATGGACTGCGAATTGTAACAATTCAAATGGCACATGGATCTACACCCGCACACTAAGGCCGCGGGAGGACAGCAGGTAAGGGGAGTTCCTTTCTCAATAAAGTAAAGCTTTCTGAAACGGTAAATTCTAGCAAAAGCCTGCATGAGCAAGCCAAGCCAGCAAGAGGATTCCATTCCCATTTATCTTTTTCTATGAAAAAAGACTAGCTGCAAACTATGTTTTCTGACCATCTGGCGTTTTTCGGAAGTACTCCCTTCTGCAGGTGTAGCGTGAAAACCCAACGAACAACAGCAAACGAATGAGCGCGTGCTTGAACAAAACTCTGCCTACAAAAGGCAGGGCTTGAGTCACACACCGCAGTTTGCGGAGTGCTGGTCTGAAGCTATAGCTCGCGGCTTTGCTGCCAGGATACATAATAATATCACCCCTCGCTTCTACTCCAGGCATCGGAGTGTGGAACAGCCTCTGACGCAGCAGAATTTGGGACCCACTGGTCTGGAATCTTGTGATTGAAACTGTGATTTTAAAGCAAGCAGGGGCTGGTGAGATAGCTCAGCGGTCTGAAGCGCCCTCTTTGGCAAGCCTACGCAAAGTACGGGGACCGCAGTTGGTTGATCCCCAGCACCACACGCTGTGCCTGCCCCGCCCCCAGGGTGGGCTGAACCAGCCTCAAAATAAAACGTAAAGCAAGAAGCATTCACTCCTCCAGTCATCGAGGCATATACTACTGGGTGTTCTAACTAAACCCAGAAAATACAGTGAAAACTGTAAGAATTGATAAAACTTAGTAAATCATTATATATGCAAAAATCAATAGCTATCTGTAAGGATAAAACCAAATGAAAGGAATAGTTAATGCTTGTTCTTTTATTTTTAATTTTTGGACTAATTTTGCATGCTTATATCTGGTAATCTAAACAACTAAGTGGAGACAACAATATATAATATCATAACGCCCATTGTTAAATTCCTATCATTTTGTTTAGTGCAATTTTGTATCCTTTCTAATTTTTTTTACTATTTTTTATTCTTTTTTATTTTCTCTTTTTTTCTTAGTACAGGGTCTACAGGGTCTCACCACACAGATTCAGACTTGTAGTGATCCTCCTGTTTTCAGCCTCCCAAGTGCTGGGATTACAGGTGCACACCCCCACACCTAGTCTCAATCTCTGTCTCAGTGTGCCCTGAGGGCAGGGCCAGCACACACACCAGGGATCAAACCCCTGTCCCCGCGTCTGCCTAAGCAGGCGCGTTAGTCCACTGAGCTATCTGACAGGCCCTTATATTTTATTCTTTTTAAAAAATTAAAAAGGATGTTATTGTTGTTGTCGTCTGCAAAAAAAAAAAAAAATGAAAACAGGGAATGTATTCTATTCACATACATATGATAAAGTATTTTAATTTTATACAGTGGTACAAACCTAGATTTTTAAAAAATTGTATGGGTGTACTGAAATATACAAACAAAATATGCAGCAGAATAGAAAAAAATGGATAGGAACGAGACAAAAAAGAATTGTAATTTTAAAATTGTACTGAGCTGGGCATGGTGGCACAGGCCTGTGATCCCAGCACTCGGGAAGCTGAGG